TTACTGCACATTTCACCATGGCAACTACAAAATCTACTAATAGTAGTAAGCACCAGTATGAACAGTCTCGAAATCGCTCTTGCAATTTCGAGACTGTTCGTACCCGTGCTTACTGTTCACGCTCACTAATGCACGCTCTATGGCTCGCTTATGTTTACTCTAAGGTCCAAATAGTTCAATTGTTTCACTTTAATATTCAGTCAGGTTATTCAGCGCAAACCAAATGGTAACCGAGAGACATCGTTGTTCAATAATTGTAAAATCTAAAAAAATGGCTATAGCAATAAGGAAGACGTTATGTATGTATAATACCATTTGTTTGAGCACAGCACGAACGGGTCTGCTCAACCGGACAGAAAAAGCGTAAACAACAGAATAATTATTGCGTGTTGAGCACCGCACCGGAGCACATTTTTACTGGTAACGAGGCATTCCATTTTAGACCTCAGGGGTGACAATGCATCTGCCATCTGTAATTTGATTGTTAATAGATGATTCATCATTATCATCATCATTACAGCCCTTCACAAGTCCACTGCTGAACATAGGCCTCCCCCAAGGAATGCCACAAAGCACGGTCCTGAGCCACCTGCATCCATCGACTTCCTGCATGTCTTACCAGGTCGTCACTCCATCTCGTGGGGGGACGCCCTACACTTCGCCTACCGGTACGAGGCCGCCACTCGAGAACCTTTCTTCCCCATCGGTTGTCGGTTCTTCGAGCTATATGGCCGGCCCACTGCCACTTCAGCTTACTAATCCGTTGGGCTATGTCGGTTACTCTGGTTCTACTGCGGATATCCTCATTCCTAAGTTTATCACGCAGAGAAACTCCGAGCATATGCTCGGAATAGATGATTGACTAACCTTAATTTTATAAAAAAAAATCCTTATTGATTTATGGATGTTCTTTGCTGTGGAAGAATGTTCGCCGTTAAATGTAGTTTGTTTTCAAGAATGTTAGATAGTAATAACAAATGCTTTCAAGTAACTAACTACGAACTGTGTGTTTTGATTAGCTTACGAGTACTTACTAACAGTACGTCACCCAGAAGAAAACGTTACCGCAGCGGGTGAGCGGTACGACAGGCAAAACTAATTTTGTATTATCGAATTGTTGCTGTTTCACGTGATTGACTAATGGAAATGCATAAATATGAAATTTTGTTTTATTTAATCAATTTATTAAAGCACTCAAGCTATTTGATATCTGGTCATCTAGTAAAGCAATAAATATTCAATCTGTTTAATATAGTTTTAAGGGATTTTCAACAGTAACAAGTAACATATGTATTTAAAAAGATTGAAATAAACTTTGTTAAACAGAAAATAAATATTATGGAACAGGTAATTTAGGTACAAACCGAAAAGAATAGTTTATCTTAAAAAAAAAAAAATAGATAGAGCCGCTACTCGTAATAGAACGGTTCAGTCAAATTGAATGTAGGTCGTTCGGGTCGCTCCATTTGCTACAGTAGCAAATTTGTTGGTCGACCTCGGTAGAACCGTTGCGGGTGATGATAACTTATCAACACTCGACACTATAAAAAATTGACCACGTATCGAGAATTACACGAATATTTGATTCGGTAAAATATTATCGAGGTTAGCGCTGTAATCAACGGTCTTGTACATAATATAGTAGGAAAAACCGCGGCGACTCTTTCTACAAACGTTTGGCTATTTTAATTCATATAAAATATTGATTAATTTTCAAATACATTTTGGAAATATCAAGAATGTTTCAGGAAGGAAATATCACAGTGATGAATCTTAAATTTATGTCTGCATCTTTATTTAGTCTGTTCCACCTATCATATTAAAATAATACATTATTAATAAACGTTTCAAATAATTTTTTCATACTTTAATTTCATAATAAGAAACTGAAAACGGTGTCTGAACACATTTTAAAGTTGAACTAAAGTTTAAAATTTTATCTGATTCGCCTGGTGTTAAACTCGTCTCTCGGTCCACAACTTTGGTTTCTAGGTCATAACGATTAGTGAAATAATTCAACCTACTTTATAATATGATGCTGTGACTCGGTCGACAGTTCTCTTGGTGTTTATGATATGGTTACATCTTGATGTTCTCTGCGTTGCATTACATCTTTTTTATAGAATAAGAATGACAAACGAGCACACATTCTACCTGATTGTAAGTGGATGCTGTGGCACATAAACATCTACGTCTATACTCGATTAAGAATCAAAATGCAGTTACGTTGTCGCCCCTGACTAAGATGGAATGCCTCTTTAACAGTAATAAGTTCGGAGATCCTTTTCTCTACACTCACCATATGAAACATAGCAACATTGAGCTGTTATTTTACGCTGGTATTCTGTGACAGCGTGATCCTTCCACGGTCGCGAGCCTACCCATTCGTTCTACAAACATAATATAGCTGCAGCATGGCTCTACCACGTGTAAATTAAACTATCCATGGAATTAAATTTTTAATGGTTATCTAAACCTCTCTTCATTCTTGAAATCCTCATCAAAAGGTCCTGCCAGTAGGTGGTAGATACAAAGAAATTTAAACAAGCTATGATAAATGAGATAAAGGTTGAAAATACGTATTAGAAATGTTTAAATTAAATACATTTCATACCCCGTGCCTCGGAAAGCACGTACAGCCGTTGGTCCTGCGCCTGATCTTTATCCGGTCGTGTCGGTTTACCGTCCCATCGGACTATGAGAGTGAGAGTATAGAGAGTGCACCTGTGCAGGCGTCGTATACACATGGGCACTATAATACTGTCTTGCGCATATGGCTAATCTCCATTGAGCATGGTGCATAATTTGCATACATACCTCTAATGATTTGGCTATACTCACTACTCAAGCACAGTTGGTAAGAGGAGCCGAGCAACATAGTTCTAAATTACCAGTGCGAGGGTATCGGCTGCTATAAATATCATATTCATCCGGATCCCTATCACTAATCGTTCAGTTTTGGGTTAGGCCTTTTTTGGTTAGGTTTAGTAGTTTTCTACCTTTTAGTCGGTCGTGAGAACCTTTTTCGCTATTCGGATGTACCACGAGCAGGTCAAATTGACATTTGAAGACAAAGTTGTTTATACTAGTATAATGTCGTATTCTCTAAAACCAGTCCGATAGTCTGATATGCACCAAAATTATTGATTTCAATATATCACAATATATTTGCTGGTCAGTATTACTGAAATTGCAGAACCGGTGGTTGCGGTCAGGACTTCCTTTGTTGCAATTTATAGGGGTGCAGGATCATGCGCGCCCTAGCGAATGCCGGGCTTACACAGCTGTCGCCGTGCGCGCCTACATTCGAACAAAGCGACCGCACGCGAACCGTGAACGGATGCAGTGCGGTGATGAAACTGACACAGATTCTAACGCGTATTTGGTAATCGAAGTTCGTGAAAGTCTCGCAGGACGGCAATATCTCGCGTATTGTAAACGTCCCACTTTGACACACTGTCGACATTCGACGGCACCGAAACCTAAAAGCGAGAAAAGACCACTTTAAATAACGTTAAATCTTCTTTCGCCAAATCGTCATTGTTCGCAAACGGGCGCGCTCTCTGCTCACGTAACTGGAACGAAAATTGTGCTCGCGTCCCAGATTTGGGATGCGAAATTGCGATCGTTGATTGGCGTATTACGAAGTTGCTACATATTCGCCTTGCATTAATTTCCATGTGAAGTTACAAGATATCGCCTTTCGGCCACTAGGTCACTCTTTGCTTATAATAAATAGGTTTATGAACCGGTTGTTCTTATTTTACGAAAATCATACTGTAATGCTTAAAGAATTTAAAAATTCTTATGAATAAATTCATTAACTTCTAAAGGCTTTATCAAAATGTGAAAAAAGAAAAAATATTATTATATTATAATTTATTGTATCTTCGGCAAAAATACAGCTTCGGCATTATCACGTAATTGAATGATGTTCGAATCATGTTACTGAACCTAGGTAACTTGATTCATGATAACATTTTATATCACACAATGCTCAGCCAGTGTAAATAACCCCGTTTAGAATTTAAACTAATAAATGAAGAAGTATCAAGTGTTAATTTTATAATATAATATAACATTTCTATTTAGCATTTACCTCTACTCATTGGCTATTCTTCAAATTTATTCAGTACTTTTGAACCGATGTTACGCAGGTACTGCCAGATTATAAATGGTTGTTGTTTAAGGACTCGCACATTTATACTTTTAATATCACATTTGATCTGAATTTCATTTGCGATCTAAAGCCGCGTCTCCACAAAAGTTTTGTTGCCAACACAACAGTTGGTAACAAAACTTGTTTCCATTTTCGGCGGCAACAGCAAAGGAATACGCTTGGTGCCAACATTTGTTCCCTCGGTGGAGACGCTTGTTGGAAATAGTTGCAAACATTTTGAAACATAACTGTTGTCAACATTTTTGGTGGATACGCGGCCCAAGATATTTTATTTGATTATTATCAACAAAAATTAAATCGCTTTCTCGTAGTTTGGCATTCAGTTTGACACATTAAAATTCCGAACCGTGTTTTTCATTAAGTTTTTTTTTTCATACGAGAGGGGCAAATGAGCATGCGGCTCACCTGATGGTGACTATCGCCGCCCATGAATAACTGCAACACCAGGGGAATTGCAGATGCGAATAGAAAATTAGCACTAAAAAGTACTGTTTTCACTCATCTAAAAAAAGTTCAATAATTCATTACAATTCGTATAGTGAATGTCATTATTAGAAAATATGCCGTATGGTGGCGGGGTAAGAGAATCCATCATCATATTCCATCTCGTAGATCGGCATCATCATATTCCGTCTGTGATCGCCTAAGGCCTAAATTTCACCGTACATTCGATAATGGGCCTCCTTAGTGGAAAAAGCTTATAATATACCATCCGTGGACCATTTACTGGCTGATGATCAATGGTGATGATACATGGAGCGTTCCACCGCCCGTACAATTGCATCTAGCTGGAAGTAGCACGTTATACGTATGATTCCAGGCTCGGGTCGGGCAGCGAGTGCGGCGGCGGAGGGTCGGGCGGCGGCGCGGCCGCTCCGCAGTCGGCGCGCGTCACGTCCAACGGCGCCGGCGGCATGGCGGTGAGCCGCGTGCCCAGCCCGTTGCACGACGGGAACACCCCCGTCGCCGAGAACTGGTGCTTTACACAGGTAATTATATCTTTTTTTTTTTAAATAAAACATTAGGATTTTTGTTATTGCTGAGATATCTCTTTTGGAAATTATGTGGTAAGAGAAAAGTGTTATTTACAAGATGAGGTTATGACCAGGTTTAAGAAAGGAATGCTTTTGGTGGTTTTGTCATATAGAAAGAATGAAGTAGGAAAAGGTGACAAAGAAAATGATGCAGAAGTGAACGGCAAAGTCGGGAAGGGACGCCCTAGGCGAAAGTTTATCGACCAAATTGGCGATACACAAATACACATATACTGAAGGTGGGCCAGATTAAGAGTACCCTTAACCGACGAGCATGTATGCATAGGTATATGGATGTAAAGGAGGCGAGAGAGGTGTGTCAGGATTGTGCTATATGGAAGTCCGTAGTCTCTGCCTACGCCTGTGGGTGACAGGCGTGAGTGTTTATGTTTTTTTATTGGATGCACTAGGATTTTTTCTTGGATCGTGGAGGCAGTTTACAAACAAAATTGCACAAAGACAAACATCCCGACACGGAACAATTATTTGTAGACAATACGTGTTCCGTGCGGGATACGCACCCGCGGCCCTCAGTGCTGCAACTCAAGCTAAGTCACTGCGCCACGGAGCCGTCAATAATTCTATTCAACATATATACAAGCATCCCTACTCTCGAACCAAAATCTTCTAGAGTTATCATAGAAATGGAGCTGGCAGCCAACTCTAAAAAAGGCTGTTGGTACACCGTTACAAGAGCTTGAGATTATACTGAAATAGAGAGCCATTTTCAACTTTTCTTATGGTTTTGTCAGTATCGAAATATTAGATTTTTCAATAACCAGAAATAAGATATGTGCATGTAAGTTTTGAAGGTCGTTTAAGGAAGGAAGTAAAAACCCCTTGTTGGTAAGAGAACCTTATAAAACGGAAAGTCAATATGGTATGGTACGGATACGGAGTTACGGTTATGATATGCTCATACTTAAAGTGTGACGTAGGAAACAATGAGTTGGTTTTGGTTATATACAATTTCAATCCTGCGACGTTTTTAATGAACTTATTACCTATACATATGTATATTTAGGAAACGTACAATATTTTCACTTTGGATTGAAAACAAGTGGCATATAAATAAAACATATTAAAAGAAATATAAAATGTGGAACGCACGTCATTGTATTAAGCTAAATTGTTTTACTTAATTTTAGCTCTGTAAATATTATTACTTCACATTTAGTACCCGACTTGTTCTTTATAATCGCGTGTAAATGTAAAGTTAGTTACCCGAACGATCATCATTGACAACGAGGATTCGTCTCGTAAGAGTATAATTACAACTCTCTTAACCAAGAGAAGCAAAATGATAATTCCTGTTGCTACGGTCGTTATCGATGATCTTGAAACGTTGCGCTCGCTGATTGTGCTAATATCAACAAGGAAGTGACTCCGTACTGCTCCGTACGCACGTACGTGTCCGATGTTCAAACGTTGGAAGGTTGACTTAGCCCAATGGCAATACAATATATTTGCGGTATGCAACAATGATACAACGTGACATGTGGCGTCGGTTGGCGACATTGCGGCCCGTTTTCTGCGTTATGGAATTGTAAACTATCGATATGCTCGTATTGATCGTGTAAACATACTTGCTAATAAACACGTATCGCATTTTAGATAATATTATCAAAAGATGTTTCATGTACTTACCTACTTTAAACATGAAGCATGACGGTAAACGTTAATCGAATGACAGGAAATATTACATAATCCCAAATACTTACATTACAAAGCCTATGTACCTTTAACTTGATTGATATGTGTAATGACATGGACATATTTGTACGGTAGTGTCAATGTACCTAGTAGATACTTGCAAATTATTTTTGTAAATAAATGTAAAAAGAACACTGTGTTCATAATTATAGTTTTTTTTACGTTTTACCAATATCTCCATTATATAAAGATGACGTAATAGTAATAAATTAAAAGAGCCGTGGTAGCTCAGATGGTTAGCGCTCGCTTTAAGCTTCACAGTACTTGAGCAACCCGGGTTCGATTCCCGCCGGCACCAATTAAATTGTTAATTGCAATTTTAAGTGCTGATTTACCACGTGCTCGGCGGTGAAGGAAAACATCGTGAGGAAACCTGCATGTCTAAAAAATAAGAAAAAATATTTCGAAGACATGTGAAGTTCGCCAAAACCCATTGGGGCTCACGGCGGACATTTCCTTGCCCTAAAACCCTCTCAGAAATGAGAGGAGGCCTGTGCCCAGCAGTGGGACGTAAATAGGCTGCAACTTTTTAATAGTAATTTGTTCCTTCATCATAATTTAAATCGCATTGCTTGCCTTGTGTTACTGTCCATGTTTAAAATATTTTCTACTTTCAAATAATATATTTTCCTTAATATAAACAAATATACTAAAGGCTTATACAGTACGCGTAATTTGCAATCATCACGGTGAAATTCCTATAATGTGACCGGTTGTTTCGTCGAGTCGAATTGGTTATTATTACGTTGTTCAACTTTTGTTTCCTGGTGTATGCTCGAAAAATTATAACAACCGTTGAACGGCTTAGCTTAGTCAACCTGATGCTACCATTTTAGTTACTTTTACGTCCATAAAAATCTATTTAGGTAGTTCGCAAACATTAACGATAAATTTTGAGTTCGACCCGGAGACGCGATCGCACATCGGTTATTATTAGGGAATGCAAAACCGGCACAAATTAAAATCCGTTTATGTTTTCAGATTTCTTATTAAAAACCCGGTTTACAGTGAAACCGGTTTGAAAATAAGATTTTCTGTCCTTTGTATAAATTATATTGTTAAACTACATGTGAAATTCAGGCTTATCTTTATTAAATAGATACGTACCTATTAAAAATTTATATTATTATTAGTTCTACTCTCATTTAAAAACGACATAACAACGGGTCAAACTCTCTTTGCAAATATATTGACAAGACGAATGAACATCGATGTCGATGTTTTCATCTGTATAAACTTAAACAAAACAAAATAAAAGGCAGTAATTAGCTTAGTATTAAAAATTTCATCTCGTTATTATTTTGCTCCGTTTAATTTTAGTACTTTGAAAATTAGAAATCAATTACAGATATAGATTTGTCTTCTCAATATATCTGCACAGCTTGAATCTGATCTAGCATGTATTTATACATTACTTTTGTATGCGGACCCTTAAACGTTTTTAGTAAGAAAATGAGATCTTAAGAAAAGTAAAGCATCAAGACTGGAATCATTTTAGACGAGATCGTATTTTGTTGCAGAAATAACCAGCTGTCGAAAATCACGTTCTGATTCGACACTTATATACATGATCGTAATGAGAGCTTTGTATGCCTTTGTTAAAAAACTCCCGCGTCCACCGCCATTTTTGTGTAATGCCATTTCACACTATTTTTTCGGTTACTAAATTCAGCGCAGAGAAAAATGGTTTAGTACAGCTCTTTGTTAGTTTCAATGCATGCAAAAGTTCCTCTTCGAAACTTTTGAAGGTATAAGTTGAAGAAGCAGTGTTCTTCAACCTCTGATGTTCTGCCAAAATAAAACTGCCGTCATCCTCAGTGACCATTTTCGATACGATAGAATTAATGAAATCTGCGGTTGGTTTTTTAAATATAGAATCACTGTCAATGTCATCGAAAAATACTTGAGCGTCGTCTAAATATTTCAGAACACATTGTATTAAAAGGTATCTCTCACATATTCTCTTTCGTAAAGCTGTCTGCAGTTAAAAACTGAGACTGTCGTGAAGGCTTGACAGTTTTCCGAACATGCATTTTAACGCAGTGTCAGCTGTAAGAAGAGTTGCATCTTCTAACCACAACACTTCGAAAACTCCTTTTACTATTTCGTGTGCTTCTTTTAATCGATTTAGAGAGGTAATTTCATCGTCTCTGAAACGAATATCCGATTTTAAGTGCAGACGCTTTCTGTATAATAGAGTACTAACTGTCAACTATATCGCATAACGAACTCCATCTCGTTTTGCAGTCCAAAATCGCACATATTTCATGGCCAAACTTCTCTTTTAAATACTTTTGTAGCATGACATCAATTTTAGTGGCAGATTTTCTTAAAAAATGTCACAACCCGTCTAACTTTTTGAATCAAGTCTTTGTAGTATTAATTAGAAACACTGGAACTGGATCTTTGTCTATTTTCTGTCTCAACTGATACACCATCTTCTTCATCATCACTATCAGAGTCAGATTGATTATCATTTTCTGCTACAGCATCGTACGGTGTTAGCTACTTGATGTTTTTTGTAGAGTACATCCAATACTGCCAATTGTATGCCACGCGCATAACACAGTTGATGATTTACAGGTAAACATTTTCCCATCTTCACCATTACGGCAGCCACGTCAGTAGAAAGGCCTGCAATATCATCTTCGAGAGTCAAATCGAACTCGTGCAATCGCTTCTCTAAAATATTACCTCACTTTATTGACGTGGCTGATCCCTCCAATCGTGTAAGTCCCAAGCTAATATGATGCCTATTATTTAAGTCAGGTGAATGCACATTTATGTACGTGTAGCGGCGATTGCGGTTAGATGTCATTTCATCGGTAGTTAAATGAAACTTTAGGCCATTATTTTTTAATTTAGTTAATACACATTTCACTTCTTGTTTGACGCTTACGCTGTATTTATTAAATGTTTTTTATAGTATTGGCTGAAGATGGAAGCGTAAAGTTACTTTTTTGAAAATTCTTCTTAAATCCACAGAATTAGCAAAGATTCTAATCGCAATACCGTCAAGAGTGACCATTCTTGACTGTCAGTTCCATAGACTCACTAGTTTTAAGATATTCTGTAATTTTCTTTGGTTTTTTAGATGATGGTCCTTCGTCCGCAGCAATAACAATTAACTTGATTTGTTTAAGTAATTAACAAGAACTTAAAAAGAAAAAAAATAGAATGTTCCAGGTAGTTCCAGAATCTCTAATCCAGATGCTTTACTTTCCGAGCATACTGTAGAAGTT